TACCACATCTAGAAAAGAGAAATATAAGTTTTTATCTAAATTTCAAGTCTCTACTAATATTTTTAACTGAATTACAACAAATAACAAAATTGAAAAATTATAAAAACTTTTTTTTCGTAAATTTTACCTTTTTCTTATGTTTTATCTTTTTTTTTTTCCCCAGATATTACGAAAAGCGCTTGGAAAATCAAAAAATAACCTCCAAAATTACTATTTTAAACAACATTTCCTTTCGGAAATGGTACCGCACGTATATATTTGAGCAAGATTTATGATCGAATTTGTATACACAGGATAAAAAAAAAATAAAGAAAATAATTATCCTAAAAAAACCAATACATTCCTCGTTATACACAGAATCTAATACATTATTTAATAACATTTGGAAACCTCGAAAAATCATTGTCTCCGTACTTTCCCGATAGTTAATGACATTGTTTAGATACAAAATCCTTTTGCGAACAAAAATTAACCTACCGTGTTATTCACGTTCGAAAATGAAAACTTTATTGAAATCAAGACTATGTCATCCTTTGTATGTTACATTTGAAATTTGAATCCGGGTCTTTAGACGAGCTTTGGATTGGACGAATACTCATCTCTATCTGAAAAAGCTATTCTAACTCTACTACCGTTTGTAACTACCTATCGTTGTTAGGTTGGTTTTTCTTCCTATGTTTATACTATAAATAAATACAGAAATAGATTGGATGTTGTTTCAGACGTACAAATTCAACTTTACATAAGACATAAGACCCAATTTTAAATTTGAACCAAACCATGAAACAATTCCATTCGTCACATTAAAACTATTAAAAGTGAACGTATATTATAAAATCTCATTAATTATATTAAGTTGAAATAGATTTTTTAAATTATTTAATAATAAATATTTGTAATTTCAAATTTTGATTTAAAATTGTTTTCTTTTATTTAACCTATTATGATGAATATTTTTTAAACATATTTTGGACTATTCATTTTTTAATAAACAATTGAAAAATAAGAGTTCAGTTAGAGCCTGGGTTCCACGAAACACAATTTTTTTCCTAAGGGTGCTCTATAGTCGTAAAAATTTGAAAACCATACTGTTCTAGATTTTTAAACATCTTACTAGATATTATTCGCGTTAAATAATAATACATCTGATTAAAAACTGTAATTCTAATACTTTGATGATAATAATTTTATATGCTTATTTAAACGAGATTATCCTTTCGTACTAAAGAACCCGAAGATTTTCGGAGAACTAATCGATTCTAATTAACTTTTATCGGAATGTTGAAATTCCACAGAACTCCGTAAACATAAGCCGGTAAAATCCGAGGTTTATGGATTATAATGTTCTATAAACTTTGGGTGAAACCGACAATCGATTTTATTTTATTTTTAATATTTTTATCTCTATCTGCAAACACAATATGCACGATTAGTTCGTACGTCATACACTTCTTATCAGACTGTCGTCAGTAATATTTCGATTGTTTTTTATTCAAATGAAGGGCTGCGATGGGAAAAACGATAATAGTCAAAAAAAATAAAAAGTGGGATAATTATAATATTATCATATTGTCATTAGTTTTTTTCCGGTCGAATTGATATGTGAATCGAATTGGGGCATTAAGATCGCCGTCAGTTATATAAAAAAGATTTAAATATCCAGTTTAATGAGGTTTTATTAAAAAAGTTCTGAAGTTTTAAAACTGCAATACTGACCATTTTAGGAATATTAACTAATATCGTTCTTCCCCGTAGCCCTTCAAATAATTTGATTGTACATCATCAATAACACACGTGATATATTTTTGAACACTCAAATTATATGAAAATACGAGTATTTACATATTATGTTTTAAAATTCAGATGAGTTTTTTTGGTAAAAAATAAGTATAAATGTACTTAACGTGTAGAACAAAATAATTTTAAAATTACTTTGCATCGTATTTGTATGTACATTTTTATTTGTTTGCGTCCAATCGGTACTTGATATGCATTTCATCATTCGAGTATTATTAACTCGATTTTATACCGAAAATTGTATAATAACACAAACGTCTTCAACAAACGTAAAGTTCCACTCGAGTATTGTTTAAATTTGTTTTTTTTTTTTTTTTTATTTAATTTCGTTGACAACGATCGCCTCGTGGCCACGTACGGCCACGAACGCATAAGGCACTAGACCACCGGGAAATTTCCCGGCGTTCCGGCGGGCCGGTCCCCCCCCCCACCCCCGAAACCGGAATCAGATTGTCGAAGGGGACAAACGCACGGACAATGAATATAATATAACGCGAATATCGCGGTGAATCGTCTCGTAAATGCCGGCGGTCGTCCGAAAACGCACCGTAATGCGCGTTTTACAACAGCCGATTTTAAGTTGGTTTCTGGCCGTTAATTTTTTTTCCCTTTAACGCGCTTCGCATTTTATTGGGGGGATGGGGGTAAACGGTCTGCCGTACGTTCGCGTGCGTCACGTGCGTCTCGAGCGGCGACGGTGACGGCGGCGACTCCGGGCGCGGCTGCACGGGTCGTTTCGGCGGTAAATTACTTGTCGGCGGTATTATCATAACACACGTACAGATATCGTACCGGAACAACCGTGATATCGAATCCGCGAAACGCGAAAGAGTATTTCACCGGATATGTGTGTGTGTGTGTGTGTGTGGATGTGTGGTTTTTTTTTTTTTCTCTACCGCGAGAATACTATACGGTCGCGCGTTATTGAATTATACACTTTTCAACAGTAATCGTATTATGCACACGCCGACGCGCGACGCAATAAACCGCGGTAGAATAGATAAAAAAAAAAAAATAAAAAAAAAAAAAAAACGTATATATATATATATATATATGTGTGTAAAAAAAATCGTTTACCACTCGCAGCGCGAGTGGGTTGGGGTGGGGGCGGGGGAGAAAGGGCGGCGTGGTGTTACAATTTATGCGAACGTCGCGGCGGCTGCGGCGGCGTGTATTATCGACACCGCGTATTATAGGTATTATATTATATATATTATTGTATACCTATAAATTGTATCGGGCGCCGTATTGTGTTTTCGTATACCACCGTCTATAACCGGGTAAGCGGTTGGCGAACCGCTGAACGTGATAATATATTATTATATTATATATATTATAAAGGAGATCGGGGGGGTGTTTTTTTTTTTTTTTTTTTTCTCTCTTTTGGCGCGGATAGCCGTTTTCGAACGGCGAGAAACGAAACAATTAATCTCGCGCGTGATTTATTCGTCGACGCGAAAATATTCATCCGTCACGGCGGCGGCGGCGATCCGAACGCGCGCGAATGTCGACGGGGGGTGAAAAACATCCGACGTCGGACACCGCGACGCGATGGCAACGTCGCGATCGGCCGCGGATAACGAACGGTTTCGCGTGTTTCCCGATCGGAATAACGTACGATTAACCCCGTATCTAATACTTATAAAATTGTGATCAGTGGCGGATATAGGATTTTATTTTTTCGCGAGGGGAGTGGTCCGACATTTGTCGCGTTCGTTTTGAACAATAAACACTACATATGAAATACAGATACGATCAAGTTTAAAATCGAGTATCAACGTTACACACTATCGTAATAATTATCGGACTAACCGCTATTTGAACGGCGATTTATTATAGTCGCTATTAACTCGTAATACTACCACTACAAAATATAATATAACTGTCGAGGGGGCCCCTCGATGCCTACCTCCCCCCCTTCTTCCCCATTGAATCCGCCGCTGATTATCAGAGTCGGGATTTCGTAGCTCGATAAAACTGCTAAATAAAAACATCTTGAAACCATAGGCGCGACTAGAGCACCGACTTCGGGGCTGCTAAAACTATAGACGAATAAAATAAAACAAAATAAAACTGAAAAATAAAATAAAAAAATACAATTTCGTAGGTTTCGTTCTAAGTATTTAGTATGAATAGAATTTATTGATAACGTGTTATATATTATAACATATGCATAGGTATCTCCGATCTTCATGCTTGGCTTTGAGGTCAACGCGCAATTTCCTAGTCTTAAGTCCAGAACTGTATCCGACAACTCGCGGATAGACGGAATTTTTAAAGAAAAACCTCCGGAATAAACTAAACTATTGTGGGGCACAGGCGCACAGCAGTGGGGTTCTGACGATGTTTCTAAAGGGCCCCACGGCTTACTGACGGATCTGGCCTTTGATATAGTAGCGAAATATTTCATTGATCCAAATAGGGTATTGATCAGTTGCCTCCGGCGGGTGTTTTCAGCATTTAAAAAATATGCCTGCAATTGCCCCTCACCATATAAAATAGTGCATACATAGAACAGTTCTAACAAAACGGGTAATTTCAGACACCAGATAAAATTGTGTACGATAAACAATGCCAATTAATGGTAATTCTCGATAGCCTATAGGTACTTAAAAACAATGAATCGATGGCTTTATCGCTATAAGAGTGTTATTACAAGTATATCATCTTTACAACATTAAAATTATTTCGTTTCATTTTTTTTTTCTCGACAACATATAATGCAACGCCAATCGCTATTATCGTTTATACCATTGAATTTATTATTTTATTATATGTATTTGCTTAAGAGAACGGCGGAACACGTGCATTTGTTGTTTCCATTTTACAAATACACCATACAGTTAAATCATGCTTACGCGGACTACACGGAACGCGCTTAACTTTGGTTTTAATGTAAAAAAACATATTATAAAATCAAAATAGAATAATATTCTGGAGAGCAAGACATAGCGTTTTTTTCATTTTCTCCAAATATAACAGTCAATTTACAGTTTATGAATAACGACTTTTCTGCTTGCTTTTTTTTTAATCCACTAAAACTTTTAAAAAAAAATAACTTTTTCAAGAAAAAGGCAACGGCTTGAACTCTGGAATATTGTTCTCTATTAATTCCATAAGAGGTGCTTTTATTCCAAAACCAAACTAAGCATGGTTTTACTATATCTTTTGTTTGTGAGACAGAAACGACAATAATGCATGTGTATAACGTCCTTTTAGGAATTTACCTCCTGGATTTTAAAACAGATGTGGTTTCGTGGTCGTGTATACATGTTACGTTGAGGGCAACTGCGGCACGTGCTCTCCAAAACGGAGTAGATAGGTGAAAATGCAGGTGCTCGTAAATTTGTGCTCTTATTATTGTCGTTTTCAACAATCGCCCGTGATAATAACCGAATAGATCAACACAAATGTCGCGTAAAAAATTATTGTTTACCTGTCGATACAATTAATTCCGTTATGGCCGACCGTTGGTGAATTATTAACCCAATCGTCGTTCACCGCGTGCGTTCAATGGACATCGTTGGTTTGAAATTTATCTAACTCTTGAAATTATCCGATTTCTAGAATATTATACATGCAACCGTCGATTCGCCGAACGATAAATCGCGGATTTAATATATTGCGATTTTATTGTAACTTTTTAAACTTTCGTTATTGTGTTTGTTTTTGTTCGCCGACGGTTTTTGATCTGCCGCAGAAGAAAACGTTGAAAAGGAGAACGCGAAAAAGTTTTTACTAAACGCTCGCTGCCGTATATACAATAATAACGATACGCAGCATAATGCATACCTAATATACCTCTATATTGTAATATGATATTCGACCGGTGTATAGTTTTACGATTTGTCACCGACAAACTTTTATTTACGTATGCAAATTCGTTGTACCGAGTCGAACTGCAAGACGCGGACCGGGTACAACCGAACCCGTAGAACGATATCGGCGGAACAACGTTTTAATAACCTCTTTTATCGATCGTATATATTATAATGTTATAACGGTAATGATGATAATATGTTTCGCGCGGTTTTAAACAGTGGCCACGGCGTCTGTAACAGTGCCCACCTTTATACACACAATGCAGTCGCGCGGAAACTAAATTGGTTATTACTTTTTCATTACTCCGGCGCGAAAGCAATGCGTCACCGCGTCACTACTCGGTTATTTATTAACCGAAGCGGAGTCGCAAAGTCGTCGCTATATAAGAACAGCCGAATAACAACAACGACAACAACAAAAAAAAAAAAAAAAAATAATAATAATAATAATAATAATAATAATAATGTCGTCCCGCTTAAACTTTATATGTAACGGACGAATAAGTCGTCACGTGCGAATTACGTGCGTTCACACGACACGTTGGTCGGACACATTTCTATATATTATTTATCGAATGTAACGCGCCAAGATGGGTCAGCTGACACCGGGGTACTGTAAAATATACGACAGTAAAATGATTATGAAAAAAAAAAAAAAAACCCGGACATATTTCACGCCACGTGCGTATTAGGCCGCTGGTGTACGGGACGGATAGTAAGTTCGGAAGGCATACATAGGGTATAACGATATATCGGGTGTCCTACTTGAGTATTAGTCTCATGCCAATAATTTTATAAATTATTTTTTTTTTTTTCAATCGGGTTTTGTGCGAAGAGGGTGCATATGTTAAGTAGAGAAAATACAATTTTTTTTTTTTTTTTTTTATCCCTCAATCGTCGAAATAAATTGCTTTTCGTTTAATCACTTTTTACAATTGTCAAAGTAACCATTTTTAAAAATATATTATTGTAAAATGTACACATACACACGTATATTCATATCCGATCAACTGTTGCCTAGCAATTTAATCGTTTTGATGTATAGAAACTAGACGTGAAATTAATTGATATTCAATGGAATGTGGGATTACCGCATATAATCGCGTGTTATTCAATTGAAAATTAATTGTTTTCACGCTAATTTTCCATGCGTTGGAACTACCATTACTAAGAAACTATTGAACCGCTATGAATGTATGTTACATTAAAATGATTAGAATAATATATTTTATGCAGATGTTGAAAAGTGATAAAACAAAATAATTTTGTTCAGTATGAAAAGAAAGAAAAAACAAATTTAATTTTTCTCTGCACATGCGTACGCCTCGCACGAAACCCGATTAAGGACTAGATACAATTTCCACATTACTACATGTTTTTTTTTTTTTATATAATTGAACTCAAATGAATGTAAATTAACAAAAATTTTCAAGATATTTTATCATTTACTCCCGATAGTCTGACCCGGAAAAGTCGGGTAAAAATTAAAACGGAGTATTGTGGTGAAAACCATCATGGATTGGATTTTGTATTAAAAAAAAAAAAAATTACCCAATTTACTGAACATTCGCTGGGTAAATAACCTATCCTAATCTACCGGGTATTGATCCAAAAAAATATTTGCCGATCATTAGATGAATTTCGTCATGTACAAATATAAACGAACACAAATATTCAATGGCAGTTATCACTTATTAGTATACGGCCGTATATACCTACGTATCGTCTATTTTTCAAAGTTATTGTTGAGAAATACGTTTCGGGCTAAATTTAAACTTCTCGATAGTAAAATAGATTTTAGCTCTTTATTTGAGAAATTTAATTTCGAAACGAACCCAAAAAACACCGGGGAAAATAAATTAATTTTATTAAAAAAAAAATAAACGCAAATTGTTCAATAAATTCACCAGCAAACACGCTAATGTCATTAGGCGATTCTGCCGATATAGATCTATTTTCTTGTAGTATCAACAATGTTAAATAAATTTGCGATTACATTTAATATTATTGCGTATTCCGTATTTTATATAAATTGTTCTTTCGCTGTACACGCATAATTACGGTTCACTCTGTACCTACTATATTTTTACTTAAGATTTTGAAAACGGGGTTTCCCCCCCCCCCCCCGGAAATAAATATATACTGCCGTTGTATATCCACCGACGCACCACCGGTACCGTAACATCGATGACAACTAAATTTGCAGTAACCGGGAGCGTGGACAAATAAAACGCAATATTCTTCCGGATGGATATCATTACCTACCGTAATAAGTATGCGATTCGTGAAAGTTACGAGCGACGGGAAGTTTTTAAAAGAAACCGAAGAGATCGCGTTTACGGACAAAAACAAAGACGCGCGTAAAAGACGAACCGACGGCGGAACAATCGCACCGACCGGACAGAACCCGGAGTCTCTATTCGCGTCTGCAAACAGCGAGGAACACCGAACGTTTCGAACGTTGGTTTTGACCGTGCGGACCCGGCCGGCGGTGGCGTTTGCGCGGCGTACCGGGAGCCCGGGCCCGACCGCGTAGCGTCAACAGTTACCCGCCGTCGACCGCCGTCTCCCGGAACGGCGGGTCCGCGTGCGCATTGCCGTCCGGACCGTCCGTAACCGGTACCGTTTCGATTGGTTGCGCGCGCGCGTTCGCCCCGGACGGAATACGAAACGCGCCGGACAGCGAACGGACGCCGCGGCGGTTTACGGTTCCCGTCGTTTGGCGCGCCCCCCCACCCCCCCGGAAAAAAACGGTCGGACTGCGGCAGACGCGGCCGGGCGAACGACTCCTCCCCCCCACCCGCGCGACGTTCGCGTCTATATATTATTGTTATCGTTATTATTATGATCGTACAGCGTGCGGCGCGGAAAAGTCGCACTTTATCATACCTACGCGGCGTACCCACGCGTACATTACGTACGTACATACCGTACACGATATGACGGTACATAGCGGGCGTACGTACGGGACGCCTTTCCGGGATGCGGGGGATTTGTTCGGGTTCTCGGCACATCCTATACAATATACACTCATATACGTACATACTTATGTACTTATATATATATATGTGTGTGTGTGTGTGTGTGTATAAAAGACGCGTTTAGGGTTTCGCGCATATTTTATTTTAATTCCGAGCGAACCGAAAAACGTGTGCGGAACGAGCGTTTGTCCGGGAGTTTTGTTTTTTTTTTCATTTTTTTTTTTTCCCGCTATTTTTTTCCCCGCGCATCGTCGTATGTCCTCGACCGCCCCGCGGCCCCGCGGCCCGGCGATCCGCCGCGCGCGCACGCCGCGAATCGCTTCGCGCCGTCGATAACGCGGCACGAGATTCATCTCGCCTTCGTCGTTCGGTGGCGTTTGTTTTGTTTTCACACGCCCGACAACGCGCGTCGGAATCCGCACATAGTGCGATAGAATATACGATAATATTTCACGCGAACGATAATAATAATATTGTATGATAACGCGAACCCCGCGCCGTTTCCTCCCCCCCCCCCGCGCTCCTCGCCACTTCACTCATCGTCTCTTCGTCTGCGCGGACCCCATTCGAAATCGATTATCTCGCCGAGACGCCCTATCGCCGTTTACGTTGTGTGTTATGATAATACGTGTTTTTTTTTTTTTTAATCACGAAAAACAAAACGCGTGTACGAAAATCCCCACGGCGCCGTGCGTCGCAGTCGATTGCGCGTGCAACGCGTTTGTTGGGCGATATTCGTTGAATTTTCATAGAAAAGAAAAAAATATGTTACCACTAAATGCACGCTTTCGTAGATACGGATTTTTCGCCCGGCAATATTTCGTTTGAACGAGTCCACCTCCTTGTTTTGTGAATTTCCGGGCTACTTGGGGAGACAATGAGGAGGGGAGGGGAAATACGACCAACCACTATTCCGCTCAGAATCGCTTTTACGTTCGCAACGATTTATCGTTGCACTATATAAACTTAATTGCCATACACGTCCAATAACCTTACTCGCCTATAACGGTAGTCCGTTATCAATAACTGCCGTTCGCTACTGCGAACGCAATTGAGTATTTGGACATGATATGTAGTTTAAGTTTTGCTTGGTGTTCATGTTGCGGACAGTAGGTATGTATATTGGGTATATACATATAGAGTGGGCACAAATATTTGTCGAAAATAGGTTAAGACACATCGGTCACGCCGTCGGACATTAGGCGATGTATCCGAGTTCCAACGAACCTACGAAACACCTTAAGGAAGCCGGGTTTTTTCGATCGTTCTAAGGTGACAACTAACTGGCGATCGTGGAATTGGAATTTAAAACTTCATTCCGAAACCGATTAACATCTAAACGTATGCAAACAACAACATTGACCGAAATTTAAAACATTAACCGTAACGTATTATTTATTATAATGTATACGAATATATTATACCCACGTATATCATGTAAATTAGCGTCGGCACGGGTCGCAGTTTACCGCGACGGATGATTGAAACCCATAACATTTATAACGTGATATTATGAACATTGAAACTTCTTGCTGTAAAGCCCTCAAACTCCCGGGGTTCATCAACCGCACCTTTCAACAAATCCGTCTCTTCTCTTCAAAATCAGTCTTTTGCTCCCTTATACGCCCTATCCTTGAATACGACTCCGTACTTTGGACCCTTTTACGTCTTGTGGCAGTAGGATGTTTGAGCGTGTCCAGCGTAATTTTCTTGCTCTAGTCGCTTTCCGATTTAACATCCCCCCATCCTCCGCATGATTAATCCCCCGTCCTCCAAAACTTACGCATATATTATTTATCAGACCGCAAACTCTTTTTTAACCTCATTTTAATCTCTAATTTTACGTCTGAAAAAATGTATTCTCCTTCTTTACTGTCACAGCTCTCTTTTAAAATTTCGCTCCGTCACACCCGGTCATCACCACCTATCTACGTACCCCTGTTTTTTACAAATTACTCCCTTAGCTCGCCAATTCCGCACTTCATGTGCGCCACAAACGCAGACCTTTCTTTTATGTAAATACTGTGGGTCCCACCATCTCCGACGGATTTTTCCAGAGCTACTAATATTAAATATTTTCAATTTTTTTTTTTTTTTTTTTTTATCAGCGTTTCTTCGAGGGGGGCATCGATTTGGAAACGATTGAAATTTTATTTTCGTCCTCTAAATATATGTATAAAAAAAAATTACTTTTTATTTACTCACTTTACAAAAGCAATTCTGTAAAATATATTGTTCTAAAAATTTTAATGCATCACGCATTCCCATTCGACGAACAGTTTCTTAGCCGTTTTTGATTTTTGGAAAATAATCGAGAAAACAGTTTAGTGTCCAACGGTAATCGCAATGGCCGCGCGGAAATTCTGTATGACGACATTATGGATAATAAAACAAAACTTATAGACCGATATCCACGATTATCGATAATAATATTACACCCCGGACCGTTTCGCGGGAGGCTATTTTCGCGTATTACGGGCGCAACGATTTGTCCGGCGCAACAGACGTAATGAGATTGCTGGCGTCCCCCGGCGGCGGTAAATGGTAATTTTCGTTATACGCGAAACGCGTTTTCGAAATGTGCTCCGAGCACACGCAATTAAAGCAAATGCGACCGTCGGAAACACCGCGCCCTCCCCCCCCTCCCCGTAGTACTTATAATACAACGTTCGGGCGCGGTACGCGGGCATCGCCGTTCCTCGGTCCTGCACAGGATTCGTCTATTTGTT